ATGTACTTGGTCAGTACTCGCAGTACAGACACTACCACAACACCTCATGGTGGACAGAGTCAAATGCCGCGTTCAGGTCAAGAAATATGGGACATGTCGACTGATGGTAGGTATGCCTATGTTCCTCGTTGTGTTGTGTTCTGTGAGCTGAGCTGTTTAGTTGTGAAGCTTTGATTGTCTCTCTCGAGGACATTTTGAGCACTAACCTCAGTATGAAGTCAGTGTTCCAGAACCCGTTAGAGGGTGGAAATATGATCGATGAGTCCTAGTCTATGTCTAAAACCTGCCTGGTTTTCCCGAGTTTTCTGTTTTCAATTTCTATTCAGGCGTTGGTTAACTATGGCCCCTGGGATCTCGGACACAGTTTTAGTTAAGATAATTTTCCTGTGGTTGTCACGAGAAGACTTCCTGCCGTTCTTAAAAGCTAGGATGATCGGTGAAGTAGATCAGTCTGATGGCACTACCTCTGATTCTCAAACACTATCTTATACCTCCGTCAATCTGATCAGCTGTTTTCTTTCTCTATCCCTGAAAACATTGGGTAACAAACTTTCAGGCGCTGTTGCTTTGTTGGTTTCAGATTGGATACACGCTTTTCAACTTTGCAGGGATTTGGAGGACTGACATTTACGTCCTGTTCAAGTTTGGGGTGGATGTTGGGCAACTGAAGGTTTGCTGAGCACCAGTTGAAATGCGTCTTAAAGTGTTCTGCCCTCCGCCTGTCCTGTAAGGTTGTCAAGGTCTCATTATTTTTGATGATGGTATCACTAACCATCCTTTTCTTCTTGCCAGTATCCTTAACAAGCCTAAGTAGTTGCTGTATGTCACCCATCGCTAACTTGTTCTCCATCTATCGCCTACGCCACTCATCACTGCTTGTGATCATTGCGTGGACCGTTGGGCAAATTAAGTTTGAGTTGCTTTCTCTCTTCATTGGGTTCAGAACCCACTAAAATCAGTTTTCTCTCTTCAGTCAGTTCGGCTGACGTCATGGAAATGCAACGACGTTTGCTAACCTTCGGATGTAGGTTGCCGACTGTCCTTACCGCTGTTTCTACAGCAGACAAAATATGATGCCAAGTTTTCTCAGGATTAGCATTGCTGTCGTGTTCAGGTAAATGCTTAGCTAACTTTCCCCGAAATACGTAAATGGCGTGCTCATCTTCCAGTCGACCATAGACAAGTTTTACTTTTGCTTTTCTCCTGCGACCAGTGGGGCATAGACAAACACAAGCCCAAACTAGTGTGTAACCTAACTTTAAACTTGTATTCCAGAAGGAGCAGGAATCCTCCACTGACCCTCTCAAAACAATGGTTTATAACAATGCGATCTGTCTGTGTCTATCGTCGGTTTGACGTTTGTGGACGCCATGTGAGACCGTTTTTGTTCTTATGCTTGAAGTTAATGTTGGCCATAAATAAATGGTTGTTAGAACAAATCGAACTAAACGATTACGGTTGTCGTTTCATTGGCATCGGATCCTCTAGTTACCTACAAGATAAATTTCCGATTAACTCAGCTTCTCTACTTAGGCGTTTAAATCACCTGTCATTATGAACATATCTGAAAGTTCTGCTTCCTGTAGCAAGGTTTATAACTTCTCACAGAATTCATCCTTTGTATCGTCCATACTGCAGTCAGTGGGCAGGTGGACAGAAATTATGAATAGGCATCGACTAGTCTCACGCTCCTTCCTAGTTCTTACAGATCCGCCTAGTTAAACAGCATATAGATGACTGTTTACTAGCGTCCAGTGAAGAAGTTCAGTTTCTGCTCTACAAATCAATGCTTTGCCCACACCTGTGAGTCCACGAGAACTAGTCATTGGATCCCCGGATACTCATGAGGTGAATTTTGAAAATTCACTACCATGGCGATATCAGTTTTAGTACCACACTCGACTCCTGTATATGTGTCTCTGAGACACAACATACATGCATGAGTGGATATTCAAGAGTTGTTGTGAGTGATGCTTGTTGAGCGATTTGGTATACAGTTAGAACGTTGACAGCTCCTACATGAAGTCGATGGGAGGTGAGGTTTGCGATGGTTTTGATCGTTGATAATGGTGTGAGAGTGAGAGATTGGGAGAGGTGTAAGAGGCATAATATTATTATCAGGAGGTGAGGGCGAAGAGGGAGATAGATTTGTGGATGATGGGTGATGGTTGATTGGTTATTGTGTGCTACCACGGGTTGTCCACACCATGGAAGGCTATTCGTTCTTCAGATATCTGAAGAAGAGAAACGATTTGTGTGACGATAGAGGCCAACGTACATCAGCTTGAGACTTGTTACACAGGGCGTTTTGAGGTTTGGTTGTTTTGATCACGATAGCCGGAAATCGCATACAGCTGGCATCAGAAGACCGTGATGCAGGGAGTAGTGTGTTATGTGGGGGACCGAGGTTTACTAACACTTGCTTCGTGTTAGGGAGGCAGCATGAGAGTGGGACTGTTGGCTATCGGAGGGAAACAGGTTAGTGCTGTTACGCCTCATCCACCTAGCATTAGAACGAATTCATATTGAGACCGGCACCATACAAAGGGTTATTGAATGTTGGTGTACTGAAGTTAAGGTATCCTGGTAGTAGACCATAAACAGCTGAAATCGTTGGTTATGTATATTTCAGCAGATATTCATCAGCATTGATCACTGTTTTTATGGATGGGCTCAGAACTTTTTTCACATACAGAACCTGATTGTCATGTAAATCTCCGTGTCACTATTTTCCTTTCTTTTTGGTTACTTTTAACGACTGCTACAATTGGATACATTCCTTTTTTCTGTTTTTGGTTTGCCTATGTCTCACTGTCCAGATATGAACTGGTACTCACTTTGGCCAGGCTACATTTTCTTTATCTGTCTGTGATCCTATTTCTTGATGCAGTGGTGAAAGGATGATCAGTTTACATATGATTTACAAACTGCAGAGTGCAGATTGACATTTGTCTTTCCAAGAACTGGAGCAGAATTAGGCTCCATTCGTGTACACCCAAAACAAACAAAATATTAAGCCACATCATCCTGCAAAAAGTAAACAATACTCCAGATTCAAAAGTACCAACAATACAGGCTGGATGGCTGACTGGATGGGTTCAGGGAGAACAAATCATATGCGGATGAAATCACATCACTACGCCACACATCATCAAGGAACGCAGCAAAGAGTGGCAGTCAACACTTTACTTCAACTTCATCGATATTGAAAATGTTTTCGACAGCGTCGACTGAGGAGTAATTTGAGAGGCAACTGATTCAACACTACACCGTTAGTGCCACAAACCTTTATAAATCTCATTCACCAGCTATATACTATGCTATATGATGCTATATGGCAAGTGATTCACAATGGACAGCTCAGTGACGCTGTTGAAGTGAAGACAGGAGTAAGACAAGGTTGTTGCCTACTATCAACAACAATGATCTTCCTGATTGTGGTCCACTGGACTGAACCGGATCATGCAGTGAACCGTGAGGAGTGAGGAGATGGGCGTACACTGGCTGGACCGACGAAAAACCACAGAAGAAGATTTGTATTTTGTTAATGATGATTTATGTCTAATGTCTTATGCTGCACAAACTCGAAGATCTGTAGGCAGAAAGAGACAAATTGAGAGGAGATGCGAGGCAGTGAAGATGGATCCCGCTTGAGGTGAACGTGGAGAAGACATAGGTGATGAAGACACCCGACCACCACCACTATCACCACCACCACCACCACCAACGACAACAAGCATGAATCACCATGAACGGGAGGAATCTAAAGGAAGTTGTCTCTTCCACCTACCTACCTGCCTATTTAGGCAGCATCGTTTCAACTACAGTCGGTGGAGGTGACACAGACGAGGATGTCGAAACCAGCCAGGATCACAAAGACAGTAAGACAGGCCTTTCTCCATTAATCTGAAATCAATGTAGAGATCTACTGCATTGCACTCCACTCCAATCGGCATAAAGCGTTAACAGGATCCGGATTTTCAACACTAATGTCATTCATGTCAGTGCCTCGATGTGATGGTTGAGAGAGTTGGCGCGTTACGAGAAGCGCATTTCCAACAAAGTGGAGACACACATCACATGAACAGCTGCCGCCTACACTAGCTCACTCAATACTGACACTGAAGATCAGATGAGATCGGATGGCCAGAACGATAAGAATAAGGAACTAGAAACTCTGACTGAGCCTGCAAATGTAGCAACCTACCAGGAACCTATCACGTAACAAATCTTCAGAAGGAAGTGGAGATGGATTGTATTGTATTGTGTTGTATTGGACATAGACAGAGAAGATCATTTGTGGGTGGTTGGGGGGAAATCTCGCATGATGTCATGCCAGTGCATGTCGTCGAGTGGAGCTCAAAGGGGAACTTCGGAGTTGGGAGTCCGAGTGTGGCATGGAGAAGATGGTGTGATGAAGAAATGGAATTTTGTGGGCAGTGTTGGTGACAGGTTGAAAAGAGTGTAGGAAGAGAGTGAAGTGGGGACGTGCTACTGAAGCCGTATGTTCGACTGGGAACTCAAGGGACAAATAATAATAATAATGTTATCAAGCTTTGTTCTAACGACTATGCCCTCTGTGTGTGCTCACCGTACATTCTAGCAGCCTGAAGAGAAGCATATTTTGATAGGCGCCCAATTATCATTTAGTCTTTGACTTACTATAATAGGAGAGAGTTTAATCTGAAGATAAATTTCTATCACCTGTGTAGCATATTATGTGAAGTTATCGAAGTAAGAGTGAGATTATTTAGAATGAAAATTCTTTTTTTATTTATCAGTTGTATATTTGCATTATCATTGGTAATGCTACCACCATGACGATAATATTATCTGTGGTTAGTGTTCATATAGAGGCATTTTACTGCATGCATATCACACAACTGATTGCTGGTAAAGATAATTCGCAAAATATCATTGAAAATTAAATGTTTTTTTTATCGCTCTCTTCACGTTTTCTTCGCCTGACTTTTTTTAGCTGCCTCTGTTTTTTGTCCATTTTATTTTACCTGTAACTGTGGTAAGGTGACTTTACCTGTTCCAATATATTGATATAATTGATGTCCACCTTCGTCAAAACGCTAAAAATTCAGGAAGAAAATGATAATAAATCTATTAACAGAAGTAAACGGATATATTTTTAGGTAGTATTCATCACAGACTGAAACCAGTTGGGGAATCATTTAAGACCTGAAGAGGAAGGAAGGAGCATGCTAACTGAAGACTTTGGGTTGTGCAATATCGTGAATTGACAGGAGTTGGAAACTGTGAATTAATGAAAATCGACCCGGGAAATCTCAAGGTTCTAAGTTCGATGTTTAGCCGGGTTGACGGTGCGTACTGCTGAAGAGTCACATACTATGACGAAATAGCTGTCTAGTGCTACCAGATTTTCAATAGCTCCCCAACTGATATCAGTCCATGATGAATACTACCTCTAAATTAAAATCTTCATTCATCTCAAAAATGAACTTGTATTTATTCACGTAAATTCAATCTGAAGAATTTGCCATGGAATAGGCTCCATTAACTCTAATTCTAGTGGGCCTAATATACCTTAGAAGTGGTTTTGTTTCAATTACTACATGGAATACTGAAAAGTATCAGGTCATGGCGAAACATTCATCTGTTACTCTTTGATTTGCAGTTGCCGTTAGCTTGTCACCTATTAAGGGATACATTCACCTCGATTTAACATTCTTGATTTTCTACATCCTATTGATTTGCATTCATTGTTTCTCGCTGTCAGTTAATTACATAACATCTTCTACTGCTCAGTTAACTAGCTTAAATGGCGGCTAACTCAAACACTGAGCTACTAAGTATTTTCCATCATATATATTTCATCGAGTTCTCCTCTTTCAATTTGTTTTTATCTTTTAAATATATTTTCGAAACGTATCATATATTCTCGCACATTTTTGAAAGGTTTTCAAACTGCTTTTTTTCAACCTGAGAACAAAATAAAGAAAAGATTTTGGTTGTATTGTTTTCTCTGAGGTGGGCTTTTTAGTTGTGGAGCTTTCGTCGTCTTTTTAGATGAAATCATTATCATCTAGAAGAAAGAAGATGGAAGCTTCACTATTAAACACCACAGCTCAGAGAACATAATACAACCAAGATTATCCACCTGAGCTACAAATATTCTTAACCATTACAAAGAAAAGATGTTAAATCGGATGGAAATGGACTTATAAATGCACGGAAATGCAGGATATTTCTATTGCTAGAATCCTTATATGGAATCTCAGACTTTGTACGAGCTGAATGAATTAATACCGCCAAAATCACACTCGATTTTCTGTTCATTCCCCAATTCAAATCGGACGTTAATGTAACTCCGGATGACTGTTTCACACTGGTGTCTCTGATATTATTATTACTATTAAAACTATTCAGATACAATAATTATTTCATTTAAAAATATTGTACGATGAAGTAAATCCGTTGAAATATTACATGCTGAGAATTCCATACTGTTTTACACATACTGTTTGGACTAAAGCGACTGTCATTAGCATTATTATCATTATCAATTTAAAAAGCAGCTTTTATGCAACACTGACAGAGGAAATCTGAATATACATACCTTTAAAGGCATATGAATGAGTGTGGATAGTCTGCACGAGCTTATCACTTATTCGGTAACAAATTCGTATACACAGTCCAGTCACAAAATGAATTCGACATCCTCTGAATAGTCTAATAGTTAATCTTCCAACTTCATTGCCAGGTGATGCAATTTCAAGTCATTGAGGGGACACAAGCTTCCCTTATGGTTGCGAATACGTTTCGCTAATGAATGCCAACAGGTACAAAACTCAGGTTATGGGCTTCCTGCAGAGTGACTACCAACATCTAACACCTAATTATAGTCTATTTTACAATTTACTCAGATGATTAATGGATATTTTGTAGAGTAGTATACTAATCTTGAATAAAATTACTCTGTAATCATTTCATCACTGCGTATTCATCTTCACAAGATCAGAATGAAAAGTCTCCTCCCGAAATCTAAGGTATGTTGGTTGAAAAGATAAAAGCAGAAAAGTTATAGTTCCGGGGTATATCTAACGGGATTGTGACTAGAGGATTCGTGATTTTATGATGCATGTCTTGTAGCATTTAAAAGTGATAGAATTGAGTAAATATCTTTCAAGCTTTCTGAGTTCACATCATGCATATTATAGATGATCAGTTCATCAGATAGAGTATATTCCCATATATACAGACAAAACAACAAACTTATTTGACCACGTTATTTACTCAGTTTAGATAAAATAAGATTTACAAACCTTTTGATATAACTCGGTCTCAGTAATGTGAATGTGTCATCTGCCTATCCAAACCACATCTTTGGAGTAGGATTATATATCTTAAGAGGTATTCTTTGTGAACTATTTATGTATATATATATATATATATATATATATATATATATATATATATATATGTCTGCGATGATGATATTTGGAATGATAGAAAGCAGCCTAGTTCGAAACTAACATTGAATGCCATCAGGCGCTAAGTAGAAGTTTTAGATTACAACCTCGGTTTTGTGTGGGTGGAAAAAACTTATGAAACAATTTTGTTCTTCATCTGGTCAATGAAAATAAAAATGCAACTTGTGGTTTCATTTTTTGAGGGAAAATTGTGGATAAATAATGTTTTTTTTTGGAATAAGGTTGTCTTCTTTGTAGTCACAGGCCAGTCTTTGTCTTTTGATTTTCACGGCTCAGCGAAGTATCGGATCTCAGAGAGAACAGTCGCCTTTCATATCCAGCGCCAATTATTGCATCAAGTATATAGTATTCTCTATTCACTTCAGAGGGAGATTAATGATCTCATGGTAAACCCTTCAGTTTTTCTCTAGACGTAAGGCATAACAACAAACTTATGGGAGAAACAAACGAATATTATTTACAATATGGTTCATATTGTTTTCTGCTATTCTTCTTTAGTTAGCAGTGAAAAGGGAATTGTAGCACGTCAGATGCATAATACCACCATAGGATGTAGATAGACAGGGGGATACGCTGGACCGAGGCGAAGAACCTAAAAGACTTGGATTTCGCAGATGACTTATGTCTGATATCACACGAACTTGCAGATCTACAGGTGAAAACTAACTAGTTGACAGAGGAGGCAGGGCAGCGAAGGAAGACGGGACTTCAAGTGAACTTGGAGAAGACAGAGGTGATGAAGATACCCAACCAACACCACCAACACCACCAACACCACCACCACCAACAACAACAAGCTCCAATCACCATCAGTGGGAGGAACTTAAAGGAAGTAGCCTCCTTCACCTATCTAGGCAGCACTGTTCCAACTACAGACGACATAGGCACAGACGAGGATGTCAAAACCAGCCAGGATCGGAAAGACAGCAAGACAGGCTTTCATCAGCCCGGAACCAGTGTGAAGATCTTCTGCACTCAGCATAAAGCGTGAACGACATCCGGATTCGCAACACAAATCTCAGTCAAGTCAGTGCTTCTACGTGATGGCTGAGAGACTTGGCGTGTTACGAAAGGCATTTCCAACAACTACAGACACTCATCAACAACTGCCTACACTGGCTCGTTACTGAAGCTCAGATGGTCAGGATGATGAGAATAAGCAACAAGGAACTCACTGTGGGAACGAACTAACTAAGTAAGAAGGTATCACTGAAGAAATATGGAGTTGAAGGAAGTGGAGATGAATTGGACTGGGCATACAGTGAGAAGGCCGACTGAGGACATCATGCACCAGGCCAGTCACTCGAGTGGAGTCCGAATGGGAAACGACTAGTTGGGTGTGTGAGGTGAGGGTGAGATGGAGGAGGTGGTGTGTGTGTGAGGAGGAAATGAGAGCTTATGGGCTGTAGTGGAGTCAGGTTGAAAAGATTTCAGAGATGGGAGTGGAAGTGGGACGTGTTACTGAAGACCTATGTTCCATTAGGAAGCCAAATGTTAAATAATAATAATGTAGATAGATAAATTTTATGCGGTACACTTCATACAGTTTCGTTTACACTTTAGAATATCTCAACCAAGACATGAAGTGAGTAAATTTAGAAATTCAACAGTGACTCAGTAGTATTTTCAAGTAAGGTTAAATTTATTTACGAATCAACAGATGATGAGAGTACTCATTTGCTTCAGTTCATATAAGTTTTGAGTATTAAGAACTCTGGTGTGTGCATTGTACTGTATAGAATGCATGAAAAACTAAATGGCTAACATAATTAATATGTGTGGAAATCGCCTAAGTTGACATCGTACACCAGTGATTTCTAGAATTCTGACTATTCTATTAGTGAGCACATTGTACAAAGTCACAAAGAAGGCTGACCTTAAGTTTTTTTAAGATGGATTGCTTCAAGGCTACCCTTAATTTGTTCACCATGACTGCCTTTCACAGTTGTATGTCGAAGAAAACTTTTTAGCGAAATATACTGAACTTCTCATAATTTTGTATATGATTACTTGGGATTTGTTAAGCTTCTCTAAAGCTGTTAGATATTTTATTTATCGGTGCTATTAATTTTCCGCTGATATTGGATTAAACTGATCCATCTCCTTTGGTATATAGGCTCCTTTAATGGCTCCTTTGCAAGAACTGCACGGAATCATGCTCCATCCGTGTACACCGAAAACAAACAAAATATTAAGCCACATCATCCTGCAAAAAGTAAACAATACTCCAGATTCAAAAGTACCAACAATACAGGCTGGATGGCTGACTGGATGGGTTCAGGGAGAACAAATCATATGCGGATCAAATCACAACACTACGCCACACATCATCAAGGAACGCAGCAAAGAGTGGCAGTCAACACTTTACTTCAACTTCATCGATATTGAAAATGTTTTCGACAGCGTCGACTGAGGAGTAATTTGAGAGGCAACTGATTCAACACTACACCGTTAGTGCCACAAACCTTTATAAATCTCATTCACCAGCTATATACTATGCTATATGATGCTATATGGCAAGTGATTCACAATGGACAGCTCAGTGACGCTGTTGAAGTGAAGACAGGAGTAAGACAAGGTTGTTGCCTACTATCAACAACAATGATCTTCCTGATTGTGGTCCACTGGACTGAACCGGATCATGCAGTGAACCGTGAGGAGTGAGGAGATGGGCGTACACTGGCTGGACCGACGAAAAACCACAGAAGAAGATTTGTATTTTGTTAATGATGATTTATGTCTAATGTCTTATGTTGCACAAACTCGAAGATCTGTAGGCAGAAAGAGACAAATTGAGAGGAGATGCGAGGCAGTGAAGATGGATCCCGCTTGAGGTGAACGTGGAGAAGACATAGGTGATGAAGACACCCGACCACCACCACTATCACCACCACCACCACCACCACCACCAACGACAACAAGCATGAATCACCATGAACGGGAGGAATGTAAAGGAAGTTGTCTCTTCCACCTACCTACCTGCCTATTTAGGCAGGTGACACAGACGAGGATGTCAAAACCAGCCAGGATCACAAAGACAGCAAGACAGGCCTTCCTCCATTAATCTGAAATCAATGTAGAGATCTACTGCATTGCACTCCACTCCAATCGGCATAAAGCGTAAACAGGATCCGCATTTTCAACACTAATATCATTCAAGTCAGTGCTTCTATGTGATGGTTGAGAGAGTTGGCGCGTTACGAGAAGCGCATTTCCAACAAGGTGCAGACACACATCACATGAACAGCTGCCGCCTACACTAGCTTACTCAATACTGACACTGAAGATCAGATGAGATCGGATGGCCAGAACGATAGGAATAAGGAACTAGAAACTCTGACTGAGCTTGCAAATGTAGCAACCTACCAGGAACCTATCACGTAACAAATCTGCAGAAGGAAGTGGAGATGGATTGTATTGTATTGTATTGTGTTGTATTGGACGTAGACTGAAAAGACCATTGGTGGTTGGTTGGGGGGGGGGGGAAATCTCGCATGATGTCATGCCAGTGCATGTCGTCGAGTGGAGCTCAAAGGGGAACTTCGGAGTTGGGAGTCCGAGTGTGGCATGGAGAAGATGGTGTGATGAAGAAATGGAATTTTGTGGGCAGTGTTGGTGACAGGTTGAAAAGAGTGTAGGGAAGAGAGTGAAGTGGGGACGTGCTACTGAAGCCGTATGTTCGAGTGGGAACTCAAAGGACAAATAATAATAGTAATATAATGATGGCTACATCGAAGTTGCCGGAGGTTTCTTTCTGATATGGTTTAAATGGTGGCGGCTGTAAGTGGAATTTAAGATGGGCATTTAATCCAGTTTTGGATCCTTTAGTCTCATTTCAGTCACTGATATTGTTTCCGCTGAAACTCAAACCGGAAACTCATCGCCTCAAATAGAATAGCGTTATCCACTGGCTACTTAGTTACGGAAGCTACTTGTTTTGTAACGGATATCATTGATTCCTGTATTTATTCTTGTCATTTCTCGTTGATTATTGTATTAGATCTTTTTCTGCTTGGATATATGCTATTTGAGGAGATGCCTGTGTAACGGAAAAATCCCTCCTGATCACCCTATTTGATAGTATTGACATTTATTTGGGTACTTTCACCCTAGTTATGGATGGTATGCCTTTGACCCTAGACGTTGTAATATTATTTGGTTGTTTGACTGTCTTCTTTGTCTTTGCACTCAGTATTTGCCTTTGTATGATTGAGGCTTATCATCAGTGTTTGACTTTCCTATTATGTAACGCTTGATTTTTGAAAAGGTGACGTTGTTTTATTGCGCCCGACATTTTGTTTTGGTTCAACTGACGGTTTTACTGTGGTTTGACTGTTTGTCTTTTGACTGTCTGCTGGAAACGTTTATTTGTTGATTTGATTATGGTAGACAGAGTTTTGATCCCTTTTTGTCGGGAATATTTTTATTGACTGTCAGTATGTATTTGCACCCGAGAACGTTTGGACCGACGGCACTGTTGAGTACCACAGATTTTTTTTTACAAATCTACCACTGGTTTACTACAAACCGTGTTTTGATATTTTGATCCGACCTTTGACTCTGGGTCACTCGCGGAAGTTCGGAAGCTATACAGTAGAACAAAGGAACTAGTCAGATTCACGTTAGTTGGCACCGCCTAATTATTTCCTGCGTTCCGGCCAATATTACTGAATTTCGGCTGCTACAGCCTGGAAAACTAGGTTTTCATGTTTGTTCTCAACTTAATCACTGTGAACAATCTAGTGTTAGTTATGAGTTACGTGTTCATGGTAGTGTATATCAGTCAACTACTGTAGATCTGTTCAAATAAGTAGTATTTTATAATGAATAAAATCATTTCAGTAGTATTATGTAGATAGTGTAAGTCAAGAAGATTTATTTTGTGATTCAAGATGAAACATACATTTTACTATCATCTACTGTTAGAAACTGTTGATGAGCAGATTGCTGGAAATGTTTACAGAAGCGAAGTGTAATTAGAAATACACAGTAATAAGACTTAATTAGTGTGTGCAAAACAAATAGTGGAGTTTACTAGATGTTAATGAAAAGTCCTGTTGTTTCTTGGAATATTGGAATATTTTTCAAAAAGATGACATTTTGATGTTTGTTTTCCCTAAATATACTATAGAGTTATTGTATTCAGACATAAGCATTGATTTCTTCATGAACTCACACCAAAGATGACATCTAAAATATGATAATTATAGAAGCTTTATCGGTGAAAACTTTAACACATAGAATAGTCAAACTACCACAAGTGGATAAATTTATTATTTGAAGAAATATCATACCAGTAAGGTAAATATTTATTGAGTAAAGAGAAAACTGACTTACACTGAATTTATATCCATCTGGACTAATTTTTTCCTGATTTAAAAACTGTGCTGGACAAGTGGTACATTTTTTTAGCACATAGTCTGTACGATAGTTTGTTTGATCATTGAATGAACCATTCAATGTTATATTCATTGATGGTTTAAATAATTTCTCTGGTTGTATACAATTATACGGTACAAAGTCTCTCTTGATTTGAGAAAAAATGTAGAGAAAAATTGGGTGATTGACTGAATAACACGCATGAAGTTAGTACTAGGCGATTTGGTAGTTATTGTTTACAAATTTTCTAGTTTCTTCTTAAAATATATCGAATCATTACATAATATTTACACTCAGAGACAAGAAAACAAAGGAAACCAGTTGATTAGCGTGGAAATTCTGATAAACTTACTTGGAGTGTGTCTCCTGACTGTTATAGTTCTACTGAGTTGTTCAACGTTGCTAATAGGCTAGAAAGATAATTCAATCACCTTTACATGTTCTTGTTACATGTGCAAAGGAAGATTACATCATCTTGAAATAGCATCTGGAAGTTTACAGCCTTTATCAGTCATGCATGTAGTCCACTGAAAATGGTCAGATTTCGACTAATCAATGAGAATGTACATCGTATTTTGATGTTGTCTATAAAGAAACTTTTTTCTCAAAAACTAGCTTATAAACGATACCGTCAGTGAGATCTAACCTCTTCAAAACATATCCTTCAACAGGAAAGCAGAAAGAATCAACGTCGAACGTCGTACACAAGTGCATCACTTCAAGTTGCCACACACTTCACAGTAGTGTACAAACACTAGGTGGATAGAAAAAGAGTGAAATCAAACTAGACAAAGTTGTATGACAGAATAAACAATCTGAAGATGATGGATAGTGTGAATACTCAAGCTTTAAAAGATGTTCAGGAATGAATATATCTGCACCAATGTGCCAAGTTTTCAGCCATGTCACTAAGAGTTAGTCTTCAACCACTGTTTCCGATCGTCTCGGCGACCCCAGCTAAGTAGTTTATATCTCGCGACATAGCTCAAACAAATAGTGAGAGACTTCATCGACTGATGTGATATCTTGGTCTACTCATCTTGAACACTCTTCCAGTTTAATTTAGGTTTCAAAGTTCACAACCTCATCCTTCACTGAGTGGCAAGAGTAGTCCTATTTTGAAATTCAGTTAGCACTATTTAGTGAGATTTCATTCCCTTGTTGTGTGATGTTAATAATCTGATGCTGACATCTTTGTTCAGTATTAAATTACTTTCAAACTGAATATTGGACGTAATAAGTATACTTCAGTTAAAAAAGTATTTCGATGACATCTTCTTGAAGATTTTTTTGATGAAAAGAGATAGCTAGAGTGAAAAAAAACTATCCAGCTGTCGGCTAATAATGAGGTTTATCTGCTTTTCTTAAGAAGGGTTATAGTCATTTTGTTTCCGAAAAGAATTGGTAAACCATCGGTCCACAATCGATTAGAGTATAAGCACCTAGGATTGAGAATGTTAATAGTTTCACTATTATTGTTCTGTGTAAGCTGGGGTATTTTATCAAGCCTCAAACACTTTTAGTAGATTTTTGTCATATTCTGCAAAGTGATTCGTAGTGTTGCGTAGTGCAGTTATTAGAGCAAAGTCATAAATCTGTATTTAAGAACTTACTCACATGAATAAAAATATACTACTGAGAAACTTGAACAGTTGATCTATAAATCAAAGCAAGCCAGATTATGGTAATGATGGATAGTGGCTAACCGTAGAATCCAATATGCGTATTTCGTCCTATTTAGGAGTCACTTGTCAGCTAGATGTAACTGTCTCCCAGTGAGTGATGTTGTTAACACCGGAACTCAAACGCCAGAGCGTTATCTACTACACCACCGAGATACAATAGCCACTTCTTGTGCGACGAGTATAGTTTTAGTTTACTTGCTTGTATTATACCGCTGTTGATTGGATTAAGTTGGCCAGTCTCTATCGGCATATGGGCTCCTATGCAGATGCCTCACTGGGAGGCAGGTACATCCAACTGACGAGTCTCAAATAGGACGAAATGCGCATCCTGGATTCCACTGCTAGGCACTATCCATCATTACTATATATAATTAAAACACAAGCAATATCGAGGCATCCGTACAGGAGCCCATATGCCAATACATACCGGTCAATTCGGTTCAATCAACGACGGTATAACACAAGCAATAACACTAAAAAGTGAGCTAGATCGTAAAATGCATAACTTTTAGCTTGTTAATGTGAACAAAGTTTACGACTGAATTGTCTCCTTGTTTAATTTCGTTATCAGTTAATTAGCCATTGGAAATTTCAAACGTTGAATATAAATAAGCTTACGTTTCCCAATCTCACTATGGTTGATAAAATCACATAAATGGGATAAATAAATGCACCGATATTTCAACTTGTCATTCATCGTAGACTGACGTCAGTTGGAGGAACAAAGGAAACCTGGGAGCACAGGACAGCTGTTTCGTCCTACTATGGGACTCCTCAGCAGTGCGCAACCACGACCCCTCCAGGGATCGAACCCGCGACCTTCATGTTCCCAATAGTTACATTGACTGTCTAAATAAATACAAAACAAAATACTTTGAATGGAATCTGTTCTTAAACATTTTATGATCCTAAGAAGGGCCAACTTTCTTATAGAAGTATCTGAATGTATAGCATACGATAGTTTACAAAGTGTCAGTCTACAAAATCTAATTTGCATACCAAGGATGTAATGATAATCAGTATACTGTAAAAATACTGAGATTTGTAATATGATTATCTAGATTCTGTATTAAATGCCTAAATTTCATTTTGTACAAATTTTGACATATAAAAATAGACAAGAGAGACTTAAAATTTGCAGAAAAAAAAAGGTGATTTTTCATTATATTTAACGATTATTCACCTGATGAACCCACTGTAAAACTACAATGATTATCGAAACAGAATTATGTAATCAAATGTTTTAGACTATTGTATAATAAATATCTCATATCACCTACAACTGAATAAGCAACAAGGAACTCACTGTGGGAACGAACCAATGAAGCAAGAAGGTATCGCTGAAGAAATATGCAGTTGAAGGAAGTGGAGATGGATTGGACTGGGCATACAGTGAGAAGGCCGACTGAGAACATCACGCACCAGGCCAGTCACTCGAGTGGAGTCCAAATGGGAAACGACGAGTTGGGTGTGTGAGGTGAGGGTGAGATGGAGGAGGTGGTGTGTATGTGAGGAGGAAGTGAGAGCTTGCGGGCTGTCATGGAGTCAGGTTGAAAAGATTTCAGAGGAACCCAAGGGACAAATAATATTATATATATATATATATATATATATATATATATATATATATATATATATATATATATATATATAGCCTGTAATCTACTTTCAGATATCTTCAATTCAGTGATAATGTTATTCAATGAATCAGTTATTTTATGTATTAACTGTAGTCGGGAAGAGCTGAACAGGATTTAATTCATTGTTTATTGTTTACTATGTGATATTATCTGTATTGTCATTCAACAGTATGGTACTAAGTCAGTGAGTTAGTGTATATATATATATATATATATATATATATATATATATATATGTCCCTTCTCAAAATTTACAAATGATTTTATCTTCACTGAAAACTCTTTATATTTTCAGTGTTTTATCTTATTATTTAACACAAGTGCAGTTAGTATTTTCATATTCATTTATGATTTCCATTATGACATTGAAAAAGAAGGGAATTCAGTGAAGAGAACTATTTTCAATAAATTTATCCTAAAGCTGCATACTCATGTTTTCATGATATTTTGAGACTGTAATCAATGACAGAACTGAAATAATAAACGATATAAATAAGAAGAGTGTTGGTTACAGTTATAATAATTTTGCTGATTAAGGATTTTCAAGTTGAAGGATAACGAAAAAAAAAGGGATGAAAAAAGGTTTCTTGATCAGTCAAGGAGTACATAGATCTCACAAATGGGGGAGGGGAGGAATGATGGAACTAATAAATTAACAAAACACTAAGTAATATCGAAAAATTTATCCAGTAGATAATACCGTACTACATCAAACAGATTCATATGGAATTACACACTACCACATTGAACAAGTTCTATCCTTATGTTTCTCTCATGTTTTTTCTTTTTTATTCTCCCTCTATCATTACAGTGTAAGTAATTGGTTGTAATCGAATCAGTCATTCCGTTACTGCTAATGCATAAGAACTAGGTTGTCAAGCTGTCATTTAAGTAATATTTAACAAGATGATTTTAATATGAGAACACATAATGTTTCTGTGGTAACTGCTGGTTTTATATCTTTCTTGTCGACTAACCTGATGCCTGGTTTCATTCACTCAGAAATCAATATATCTTATTTAGAAATGTCATACATTTTGGAACCGGCATCACTGAGTATTGTTGACAGAGACCTTATCACTAAGATACTTGCATTGTGTATGATTATCCCTATGAAGAACTAAGTGTTTACCTTGATAACTGTCTATAATTTTGCATGTGTACACAGGTAATCTTCCCTTTTCTTTTGATTACATCATCTCTTCATTAATTACTTACTGAATATTAGTCACTTAGTGATTTTCAAGTTTTTCATGTAATTATGTAATCTATTAGGTTTTAAAAAGTCCCTTCTTTTACACTGATTTTCGTTTCTTCTCCTCTCACTCCATAGTTCCAGAATTTTTCTCTGTCATCAGATACAAATTGTCATTGATTTTGACTAAGATTTGTAACTATTAATCCTGTCTTCTTGATTCACTACCTTATTGTTAATCCTGGATTTCAAAATCTTCATTTCATTCTACATATCTAAAGTATGCTATGTTATTATTACTACGATTATTTCATTTCTATTATAGGCTGTTTGCAGCTCATGAAAGGCCATGAAATAACTTCAGCTCATTTTATTCTACAAATGTCTTTGTTCTTGGATTATTCAAATATCCTATTTAGTTAGATAAATAAGTTTGAGGACTACCATGTCTACAATCCTTCTTACTAATTGGTGAGTAGGTTTGTTTATCAGATTGATGGTTACATTACAAAACCCTTATAGAGATATATTTCTTCTGAAATCACTACTGGTGTAGTTTACATATGATCTTACCACGAAAACATTACTTAAAATCCTCTTCTGAAGTTATTGGCAATTTTGAAGTTT